AGATATAAGAAAAGAGGACTGGCTGCGGGTTAGGGGAAGAAGAGGGGGCGGTTTGGGGCGGGGGAGAGAGGGAGGGGAGAAATAGAGACTCAAATTTTTTTTTTTCTCTCCCTTCCACTCTCCGCATCTCCCACCCACCCCCTTCTGAAATAGGGTATTTCTTCTGGACTGATTTCATTTTTTTTTTTTCTTTCTGAGTCAAATTTTTTAGAGAGAGGTAAACTGGGGAGGATGGAGGAGAGGTGAGCCGCCCATGGGCGGAGGGTCAACCCCAAAGTCTTAAATCAAGTGTGGGAATGATCCCACAAATGTTAGTAGGCACTTTACAAGCCTAAAAAGGGGTGGGGGGAAAGGGGGGAGGGAGGGGACAATGAAGTTGGGGTGGGAGGGAGGGGGGAAGGGAGGGTATTGGGTCAATACTCTGCATGACAGAAGGGATAAAGAGGAAGAGGCAATCTGGAAGAGAGATGGAGTTAATTGGGAATGATGGAAGAAATACAGTTTATAACCTATAATGTGAACGGGTTGAGTTGTCCAGGGAAGAGATTTAGGTTGTTTAATGAGTTACATCATAGGGCTACGTCAGTGGTATTTTTACAGGAGACGCATTTTGAGATAGAGGCAAACGTGAAATTGAAATCCAAACACTACCCAACATGGTACTATGCAGATTCTCCAATTAAAAGAGCAAAAGGGGTTGCAATAGGTTTTGCAAAGAATATGAGATTTGAGAGCTGGAGGATAGAAGAACCGACCGGAGGGGAGGTTTTTATTCTTAAAAGGTAGCCTCCAGGGGATTGAGTGTACTTTAGCCAATATATACTGCCCTAATATAAAAACCTGAGATGTATATGAAAGGTCTGCTGAAAAAATTAATGGAATTTAAAAAGGGCGCCTGATAGTAGCTGGAGACCTAAATTTCTGTATGGACCCACAAAAGGATAATACCTCTTCCCGTGCAAAGAGAGGGGAGTAGGTCTCTGAGAGCTCTGAAAAAAAAGTGATGCATGAATATCAACTAGTGGACACTTGGAGAATAAAGCATATGAAAAGACAGAGACTATACCTTCTTCTCTAATGCACATGAGATATACTCGAGATTAGATTACATCTTAATAGACCATCAACTTATAGATCATCTGGTTAAAATTGACATAGAGACCAAGACGTTCTCGGACCATGCTCCGGTTGTAATGAAAATGGGATGGGGAAGAAGGTGGACGGGAGGATTAGGGTGGAGATTAAATGAGGGTCTTCTTCTGGATGGAGGGATGTAGTTCAGAAAAATCGAGAAGAGATTAAGGTATACTTTAAGGAGAAACGAAACAGAGGAAGTTACAGTCTGGGAAAGCCATAAGGTATTATAAGAGGAATCTTGATTGCGGCAGGAGCAAGGAAGAAAAAGGAAAGAAGAGAGAGGGTCAGTGGGCTCTTAATAAAGAAATATTAGGACTTGGAGCAGATCCATAAGAAGAAAATAACAAAAGATACGAGACAGAGGTTATCGGATAAAAAAGATGAGCTAGAGAGGTTGATGGATGAGGAGAAGAGAAGAGTATACAACAGGGTTTTGAACGAGAGATATAGATGGGGAGACAGACCCAGGAAGATATCTAATGAGAGCTTTGAATATAAAAAGAAAAATAGGAATTATATAGAAAAGATAAAAAGTTCAAAGGGGGAGTTGGTCAACTCAAATAAAGAGATTATTAAAGTGTTTACGGAGTATTACAAAAAGTTTATATAATATTAGCCCCCAAGGCCCCCTAAAAGAAGCCCAAGAGAGAATTAATGGAAAAAAAAGATGACATACTAAAAAAATGCGGATTACCCAAAACTAAGTGAAGCACAGTTGAACTCCCTAGATGCAGAAATCCTCCCAGGGAAGAAATTAAAACAGCATTAAGAAGCACAGGGGGGGGGGGGGAAAAGCCCAGGCCCGGATGGATATACAGTTTAAGTACTATAAGAAAATTTAGTGAAGTACTGCTACCCAAGTTTGGAAGAAATATATGAATGCTATGGGAGGTGGGATGGAAGTGAGGAGAGAATCCCTACAGGCCCATGTAGTACTTATACACAAGGAGGGAAAAGATCCATCTCAGTGCTCCAGCTACAGACCTATCTCATTATTGAACACAGACACTAAACTGTATGCAAAGGTGTTAGCAAACAGGTTGAGGGATCTGATGCCTGAATGGATCCATGGAGACCCAGGTGGGCTTTGTACCGGGGAGAGAAGGTAAGATAACGGCTTTGAGAACCCTGATGCTTATTCAGAAAAGTAGAAAAGGGAAAGCCCCGGTGGTGCTCTTGTCAATTGATGCAGAAAAGGCAATTTGATAGAGTGGATTGGGGCTTTATGATGGACAACTTAAAAGTGCTGGGGATAGGTGATAGAATGCGAGAGTGGATAAGTAAATTATATAGGGAGCCTACTGCAATCATCACGGTAAATGGGGAGAGATCGAACCCATCGGAATGTCTAATGGTACAAGACAGGGCTGCCCACTGTCCCCTCTGCTATATGTATTGTCACTTGAACCTCTGTTGTCAATAATAAGAAATAGTGGATCGGTAAAGGGAATTCAGATAGAATCCATAGAACATAAAGTAGCGGCCTTTGCGGAACGACTTATTGTTCTATGTGGGGAATCCCCGAATAACTCTCCCAAATATAATGAAGATACTGAAGGAGTATGGTGAACTATCAAATTTAAAATTAATCCCAACGAAAACAGAGATCCTGAATATTAATATACCAAAGAATGAAAAAGAAAAACTACAAAAAGAATTCCCCTTTATATGGAGAGAAAAAGAGATAAAATACCTAGGAAAAAAACTCACTGCCTCATCTAAGCATTTGTATAGATTAAACTATATCTCTTTGATAAATGAGATCAGGGAAGATTTAAAAAGACTAGAAGGAGGAAATCCATCCTGGATAGGACATATAAACCTAGTCAAAATGGTAATTATGCCTAAAATACTGTATAGATTTCAAATGGTACCAATTAAAATTCCAGAAGCCTTCTTTTTAAGATAATGAAAAAAAATGTTAACAAGATATATTTGGAAGAATAAAAAACCCAGAATAGCATATGAAACATTGAGTAGGACTAAAGAGAAAGGGGACTGGGCCTACCAGATGTCAAGAGATACTATAAAGCAGTGGTTTTAGCAAGAATATATGACTGGACATTTAACCATAAGGGGAAAGTTGGGTAACAATTGAAAAATAATCTTAGTGGCAATAGATTGAGTAAGATGATATGGGTCCCACCACAGTTCAGGGGATTTAAAGAAAGCACAAGTATATACACTTTAAATGTCTTTAGGGTATGGGACAATTTACATAAAAATATGAAATGGGAATTTAATTCTATATTAATGCCTCTCACAAATACTGAGTACTTCCCACCGGGAAAGATAATAAGATATCAGGAAGATGGTTTAGAAAGGAGGATACCCAATTGAGAGATGTTTTGGTGGAGGAGAATTGAGATCACTTAAAGAGTTAATAGAGAAGAAGGGAGATATTTTTATTAGAATAGATGAGTGGAAATATCATCAATTGAAAAGTTTTATTGGAAATCTACCGAAACCCCTGAGAATAAAACAGGAGTGGAATATGTTTGAAAGGTTGTTAGAGACACGAAGGGATGGGAAGCAACGGTATCTCAAAAAGTGTATAGAATACTCACAGAATTAGACACAAACACAAAGTTAATTTTTATGACAAAATGGGAAAGGGATATGGGAGTTGGGTTTGATGAAGATAGACAGAGAGAAGAATGTTTAGATTGATACACGATAATGTTAGTGTGAGAGAGGTTGAGGTTAATTATAAGTGTGTGACATGATGGCACATTACACAGAGTGTAGAGCACAAGATGAATGGGGAAAACTCAAATATGTGTTGGAGAGGATGTGGAGAGATAGGCACGGTGTTTTCACATATGGTGGGAATGTCCGAAAATCCAGGCTTTTTTGGAAGATAATAGTTAAATTAATTGAAGAAATAACTGGATTTGACATAGGGGTTAGACCCAACGACGTGCCTCCTACACAATGTGGAGACATCCGTAAATAAATATAAAGATTCAGGTATTTGGTACTTCTTGAATGCGGCGAAAGGGGTTGATACCCAAGTTTTGGCGGAAAGCTGAGGTTCCGAAGGAGGTAGACTGGATTAATAGAGTAAACCAGATAGGTAGAATGGAAAGATCATACCATATGCAAGAAGATCGGATGGGAGTTTATTCTAGGAGATGGGAAAAGTGGGAAAGAGCAGGATTGAAAGAGAAATATAGGAAGATATGAACTAGGATGTTAGCAAAAAAAATTAATAAGCCTCAAGAGATTAGAAAAGGGCTAGAGTCTGCAGAGGGGGAGGAGGGGGGGAGGGGCGGGAGGGGGGGGTGGTGGGACGGGAAGGAAAAGAGTTTTTAGTAAGGGAAAGGCAGAAATGTTATATAATTGTCTACTTGTATGAGAATTATTTCCCTTTTTGGATTTTTGTATTAATATGAAAAATTTAATAAATATTTAAATTAAAAAAAAAAAAAAAAAAAAAAAACCATTGGAAGGAAGCAGGAATCCATCAGATTGTCTTTAACCACTTGCCTACAGGGCACTTATACCCCCTTCCTGCCCATGCCAATTTCCAGCTTTCAGCGCTGTCACACTTTGAATGACAATTGAGCGGTCATGCAACACTGTACCCATATGACATTTTTATAATTTTTTTGAGACAGATAGAGCTTTCTTTCGGTGGTATTTACTCACCTCTGGGATTTTTATTTTTTCTTAAACAAACCAAAAACCACTAAAAATTTTGAAAAAAAAAAGTTTTTTCTTAGTTTTTGTTATACAATTTTGTAAATAAGTGATTTTTCTCCTTCACTGATGTGCGCTAATGAGGCTGCAGTGATGGGCACTGATAGGCTGCACTGATGGACACTGATAGGTGGCACTGATGAGGAGGCACTGGTAGGTTGCACTGATGGGCATTGACATGCATCACTGATAGGCACTGAAAGGCAGCACTGATACATGACACTGATATATGGCACTGATTGGCGGCACTGATAGGCAGCACTGACTGGCACTGATAGGCGGCACTGATAGGCCACACTGACTGGCACTGATAGGTGGCACTGATTGGCAGCACTGATAGGTATTGTTAGGTGGCACTGACTGGCACAGATGGGTGACATTGAAAGGCAGCTCAGATGGGCACTGATATGTGGCATTGATGTGCACTGGTATGCAGTGATATGTGGCATTGATGTGGCACTGATGGGCACTGGCACGTGGCACTGATGAGCACTGACTGATGGACACTGACAGGTGGCACTGCTGGGGCTACACTGATCATCAGGGCACACTGATCATCAGTACCCTGATGATCAGTGTATATGTCCCCTCCGAGGAATGCCGATTAGCAGCTCTCCTCTCCTCACGAGATGTCAGCGTGACAGCTCGTGAGGAGAGAAATGCCAATAACCGGCATTTCCCTGTTTACATGCGATCAGCTGTGACTGGACACAGCTGATCACATGACCGAGCTGACATCTTTGGCTCTTTCCATGGATCAGTGATCCGCTGTGTCCGAGGGACACAGTGCACAGCCGATCGCCGCGCTCCACGCTCCCTGAGCTGCGTATGCGCGGTGAGAATGGAAGGACATCATATGACGTCCTATCAGAACGAGAGAACCACCTTGCGCCCGTCATTGTACTATATGGCGGGCGAAAGGTGGTTAAAAGGGTAAAAGGGCAATTGGGTCTATAAGCAAAAAAAAATAGAGAAAAACATGACAGAAATAGAAAAAACTGCCAGATCACACACCACAAACTAACCTCACAATCAGGTCACTTCCCTTTTAAAACAAAAAAATTGCACAGATTGCATTTGGGGAACATTATTTGAGATGACTTGCGTGCAATGTGTTAAAGTGGAACAAAACCCTCTTATCCTTCTCAGCCAAGGAAGCTGTCATCTTAAAGGCTAAGCTCACCTTTTGAAAAACAAAAACAAACGCACATTGTTTACAGGTAAAAAATATGCATTTATAATTTTTTTTCCTCCAAGGAGCCTGCAGAGCATTGCACCCACGATCAGAAGATTGCGGGTGCAAAGTCAGGCTCTTGCACACTCTCAGGATAGCGGTCTGCTGTACCTCCCATATGGACAGGCAGTTACTTGAGGGCAGGAAGATCAATGAACTATGAAAGCGCTCACCAACACGATCGGTGTATTCTGCCTCAAAACTGGCCATACATGCATTGAAATCAGTTCAGCAGGGAGTAACTGAATTTTAATTCAGGTATGGCCACTGCAGTTGAACAGATGTCAATCTAACACTTGACTTCTGTTGAACCACCTTGTCAGTATTTTTGATCAGCACTGAAGGCAATAGGCTACATCAGTATTATGATGGTGAGGAAGTTTCCCTGCTGTCAGAATACAATGACTTAGGCCCCATGTACACAGGACACTTCTGAACGATGGAAACTGACTGCTGGAAAACATAGCTTAAAAAACATCTGTTTAGCCGTGTTTGCATACCGCGTTTATGTGCGTTTATGAGCATTTGCGTTTAGAAGCGTTTTTTAAAGATAACCTCAGGAAACCTTCCAAAATGCCCAGAATGCACTGAAAAACAGTAAATAATTAACTATTTCAGACATTTTGAGAGAAATAGAGAGAGCAGAGTTTGTTGAGCTTAGCTGTCTTTTTTTGTGGTGTTTGGATGTGTTCCAGTTAATTTCTGTGCAGAATTAATTGCAGCAGTGTCTAACATATTTTTTTTTTTATGCAAAACCTCAAAGTATGGTGTACCAGGTCCATTTGAGTACTGCTTTGCATGCGTTTTTCATGAAGAAAAAAGGTTCTGGACAGCATCTGGAAATGCGTTTTGTGTTTGAAATGCTGATAAAATCTACTGCTGAATGCAAGTTTTCTGCATTAAAAAAAACGACTGTAAACAACTGCCTGTAAAGGAAGATGTGTACATGGACACATAGGAAAACATTAGGGTGAGTTCAGGGGCTGCTGAAAAAAATGCTGAACAGCTCCTAAATGTGAGTTTATCAGCTGCAGTGTACTTGAACCCTTAGAGGGGTATTCCTCTATCCATCTTGATCGTATGGAGGGGGGAATCAGGTCATTTTTTGTATCCAACCTGCTTGGTGAATATAAAAACTGATCCATGTATGGAAAGCTTAAGGATGAGCTCAGGTGTTTTCAGATCCTAGTCTGACTCCACCTTAGTGATCCTGCCAGGAAGCTGTCACATGTACTTGGGCATACATACGTGCTGCCGCAGGGTGGAGAGTGCCTTGGCTATTTATGATAGGCCAAGTACAGTGTCAGCTTCCTTGCAGGAATGCACAGGTGGGTTTGGAATATGTGACGGAGCTCATCCCTAATTCTGACAGTGGTGGGCTCAGCTTCCAGAACACAATGTCCTGGCTGGGGGATTTTTCCATCCACCTCTTTGTACTGATGGAGGAATCTATTGGTTTTTCTTTGTTCATCTCACTCAACAAAAAAGACTGACAAAGTATGGACAATGTTGACATGCTTTCTATTCAACACCAGCAATTGTCAATGGAACATACTGAATGTCCTCATTGGAAGCATTCCCCTTTATTCCTGTTCTGGTAACAACTCATTATTCAGATTTTCCTTATAAAAATGGGCTAAATAACAAACGGGGGGGGGGGGGGGGGGGGGGGGGGGGTTGGGGTGAATCTACCATACCAGTGGAGACACAGACGGCAGTAAAGACCAGAGGCTTTCCATCCACTTCAACAGAAAATACATCTATACTGTATACTAGGTATGATGAACACAGCAAAATAATTGTTCAGCTATAGCACACAACTTATAACGGATAGCAGAAAATACCTGGAGTTAAAGTGGTAGTTACGTCATGAAATAAAAAAAATTCCAGCCCCCCTGCAAATTAATGTCATAGTGTGCTATTATGTATTAGCACACTGTGAAAGACTTACCTGTAAAATGAAGCCCTCCTGCGGCGCACTGTCACTTCTGTCAGGGCTTTCATCTTCACCCAGTCTTCATTCCGGGTTCGCGGTCTCTGGCCGTTTGAATAGCCAAGCCACGTTAATGTCACTCCTGTGCATGTGCATGGAGTCACATTTACGGCACAGCAATCTGGTGGGGGGGGGGGGGGGGGGGGGGGGGGGGACTGACAGTACATTCACTGTGCCCTCAACTCAGTGTGCAGTGCTCGTACGCTGGTGACGTCACTGGCTGCAAAACGGGAAACGGTGCACGTTTAGGAGACAGTCATTTTACCTACAGGTAAGCCTTATTATAAATGACACAGCGGAGTTTACTCCACTATTAAAGGGAACTAAAGGCACTATACCTACCTCCTCTCTAATATCTGAAGTCTGCAATGTGTCTTTTGCTGGTGCTGGCATATTTTCCCCAATACCACACTTTTCGAGTATCTTCGGTAGCTGAAGTGGGATAATATGTAGGGATCAATCATCTCAGCACACATGTAACCTGCATGCGCAGCTCAGTTTACATAACGCAGAATGCTGCAAACAGGCAGGTAAGTCTATTTTACTATAGAAGAGACATTACAGAGATGTACACAAAGGAAATATTTCTTTCATTTTGGGTTTGTTCATTAAGTTCAGCCTTGTTCACACCATGGTGCAGAGATGTGAGTTTTTCTGTATACGTCTGCAAGAGCACAAAGAAAGCAATTGTTCTCCATGTGCCCTGTTCACACCACAACACTGGTATCACGTGCAGATTTTTTCTGCACAGAAATCTGCAATGTGACTAAAACTCTATTCATTCGATTTTGTTCTGTTCTATTCTACTTTTTATTCTATTCTTTATTTTCTATTATTTTCTGTTTTATTCTATTCCATTCCTTTATTTTCTACTGCTTTACTCTATTCTTTTATATTCTATTCCTATATTTTCTATTCTGTTCTTTTAATTTCTATTCTATTCTGTTTTAGTCTATTCCATTCCTTTATTTTCTATTCCTTTCTATACTATTGTTTTATTTTCTATTATATTCTGTTTTGTTCTATTCTATTCTATAAAGCAGCCTAAGAAGGAATCATCATCTTATTTCACTTTTATACCTTACTGTATTTATTACAGTATATTTCCATTTCAAATCATTTGCAAATTTAGGTTTGAATTCAAATTCATTTTCAAATTATGATAATTTGTTTTGTTATAGTTTATTTTGGATTCACTGAAATTCGTTACTATTGTGATTTGGAAATTCGGATTGCAGTAATATATCGACCTCCTGGATCCGTATCCCACTTCCTTGACGACTTTACCGCCTGGCTGCCCTTCTTCCTCTCCTCTGAGCTACCCACCATCATCCTTGGAGACTTCAATATCCCTATTAATGTCAACAACCCGGCCACATCCCAACTCCTCCACTTAACCTCTTCTTTTACACTCGCACAGTGCACACAGTCCTCCACCCACACCAATGGGAATACCCTGGACCTCGTTTTCTCCCATCTCTGCACCCTCCACAACCTCACAAACACCCCTTTTCCTCTCTCTGACCACAACCTCATTACGTTCTCCATCTCCCCGTCCTATAACGCCTCCCCCCCAAATGTCAAACCATCACCAGCCGTAACCTCCACAACCTGAACCTGGCCCCTCTCCACTCTGCAGCTGACCGTCTGTACAACAGTATCCTTCCACTGTCATGCCCTGACCTGGCCACTACTGCGTATAACGACTCACTGTCAGCTGCCTTAGACTCCTTATCACCCCTAACCACACGTAGCATTAGACCCCGACCGCTTCAACCTTGGCAGAACGACCACACTGAAAATCTTAAACAACGCAGTCACGCGCTGGAGCGATAATGGCGCAAAACCAGATCCCCTTGAGCGTTCTCTCCCTCTACACATCCGCCTTCCTCACCTACTCCTCCTCCCTCCACGCCACCAAACAAGCCTACTTCGTAACCCTCATCAATACCTTCTCCACCTGTCTTCGTCGGCTCTTCTCCACTTTCAACTCCTTTCTCTCCCCCCCCACCCCCACCCAGTACCTCACTCACCGTGCCATGAGATTGCAATCACTTCCAAAATAAGATCGATGCAATCCGTAAGGACATCGCCAATGCTCAACCTACCTCCCCACCTAGCTTCCCTCCCACCATAACCCCACCAACTCTTCCCTCCTCTGACCTCGCAACCACCCTACCCCCCACCACACCTAACGTCCCGCACACTATAACCTCCCCAACACTCCGCTCCTTCAGCCTTGCTACCACTGAGGTGGTCACGAAGGTCTTCTCAGAAGCCCGCCTCACCACTT